TGTTTATTATTACATCCAACAACAGAACACCTCAATCGCTTAGGAGTCATTCTTGTCTACATCTGCTCCAGCGGTGAAACAATGGCGGACTGATGACACTCACTCAGGGCTGTCTAAGGTAAGACACCAGTCCAGTCTGTGCTGAAACGCTACTGTCAATCAAACTATCGTGGGAGGGGCCTGTCTGTGTGACTTCACACAGACCAGTGTTGCCAACTTATGCCAAGTCACCGACAGCTCTGTCTGGTGCAGGGTGGCCAGGTTTTCGCTACAAAACCCGCCCAATTACTACTCAAAACTAGCCTGAAAATAGCCCAATTGTTACTACTCAAAACTAGCCTGAAAATAGCCCAATTGCTTTAGAGGGGGTCCCCCAGTAAAAATCGCATTCGGGGGTAAAATACACATTTTTTTGGCGGGGTTCTCCTGGTACAATTCACATTCCAGGGCCTAAATATCAAGTTATTGGGGTCGCTTCAACCTGCTGACATAAAAAACAACCAGCGGCAATTGCGGATTTGGCAACACTGGTCCGCAAACTATAGGCTTGTTGAGATGAGCAAAATCTGCGAACCGATCACCGCGAGATGCATGCCGGTTAGAAAAGTGTCCGAGTTACGTCCGACTTGCTCTGATGTCATGCTGACGTGTGCCAAAAAGCTCTCGCGACGGCGAGGCGGCTGTGTCGGATTGTGCAGTCGAGCGCAGTTGCTCTCCCTTAATGTATCTTAATACATTAAGCCATGTTAAGTGTTTATGGTTTTCTACAGGAGGAAAACGCTTAGCGAGAGACTTTGTGCATTGTGTTAATATTCTGCTGTTGCCACAGATTTGCGGGTCTTGTCTTTTTCTTGCAGGACCCTGTATAGTCTGAGCGAGGCTGCAGCTAGACCCTCTTGAATATTTCACGGGCGTCGGCAACACATCGGCGATTCCCTCAGATCGCGTCTTCGATAATTCACACTGCGTGATTGTCACTCGCGTGAAAGAGCACCGATTGGCCTCCGATTTCGGGCATTTGTGGCGATTTCGCCAAACCTGTCGGCCAGTGAAAAATTCAGACTTGGACCGCTTTTCAGTCACTATAATATTCATTCCGTTGTCTGACAACAGAAACAGTAAAATATATTAATAAAAACAGTTTTATTGAGAATCTGGCTGCATTAAAATGCAGTACGTGAGCACAGGGAGGCAAGAAAATACGACGCATGAATATGCTAATTAGCGTATGACGTCATCTAGTGACATTTAGCGACTTTTCAGGCGGGGTTTAGCTACTTTCCATTGAAAGAAGTTGGCAACACGGACCCAGACAAGCATCTGAGATCGGCTCGATTTGAGAAAGGGGAAAACATTTAATGAGATTTAAAAAAAAAAACACTGGGTGGATTTTTATCATTATAGGGTGGTTGTGTACACACACTGCCAACACACATTTCAGTTCAAACAACTTGTAAAAGTGCATGTAGCATCCTATGACCCCTTTAAGGAAGTTTCGCTCTTTTTCTGTTCTTCCCAAGTTTCAAAATGTGAAATGTTATTTTGCAACTGAAACCTTTGCATCTGTTTGCTTAGTTGATGCATCATTTTGAACGTAAAAGTGTTGGACGTTAATGGTATTACAATCATACAAGGAAGGCACACAGCTGCGAAAAAATTTAACAAAGGTATTGGACCTGCATTCATGTATGGACATGTCCAATGAGTGTGATTCAATTGATATGAAGGTTGGGTAACACTTTACAATAGGTTTAAAGGGGTCATATGATGCGATTTCATTTTTTCCTTTCTCTTTAGAGTGTTACAAGCTCTTGGTGCATAAAGACCTTATCATGAAATAACTATTAACTATTTTTACAGCTTTTATTAATCTGTGGTAATGTTAATTTTAGATATACTGTTGTTAATTGTTAGTTCATAATATGTAGTGTTCCTTGTACAAACTGAAACGTTAAACATGTCATTTAATATACACTATCATTCAGAGGTTTAAAGGCTGTAAAAAAAAAAAAGAAAACAGAAGAACTAAAGAAAATAAAGAAACAATATTCTTAAACAGCAAGGTGTCACGGAGACACAGAACACAAGGATGACAAATACAAACTGAACAGACTGGGATTTTTAAACACAGGGCAATCAGGGGAACACAGGTGCATGGAATCAGTCAATTAACTGGGACACGGAACACATGGGGAGGGAAAACACAACAAAAACCAGTCCATAATCCTGACACAAGGACGCATTAAATGATTAAAAGTTACAGTGCAGACATTTATAATGTTT